TGTCAGCCTTAGATTACTGTCACATACAGTGTCAGCCTTGGTTAGCCTTAGATTACTGTCACATACAGTGTCTGCCTTGGTTAGCCTTAGATTACTGTCACATACAGTGTCAGCCTTGGTTAGCCTTAGATTACTGTCACATACAATGTCAGCCTTGGTTAGCCTTAGATTACTGTCATATACAGTGTCAGCCTTGTTTAGCATATGTTACTGTCACATACAGAATCAGTCTTTCTTTTTTTTTTTAGGCTTAGATCACTGTCACTTTCAACATATACCCTGATTAGCTCTAGCAACCTACAACTCAGATTCAGTGTCCTGGTCAACCTAGAGGAACTTCTTAAGCCCATATCCTATCAGCCATGAGTCTTGCAAGCCCCTTTCAGTGTCTGCCCTTATCAGTCTTAAAGACTTGCAAATCTAAATTCAATGCCTTTTAATTGTGGCCTTTGAAGCATTGAGTATCTACTCTAGTCAGCTCAGGAAATATACAAGCCCACATTTAGTGTCCGCTAGACACCCAGAGATATATGCAAGTCTACACTCAGTGTTTGCCATTATGGCTCCTACAGATTTGCAAATTCATGTTTATTTTCTGCTCTTGTCAACAAAAGAACTGTGTAAGCCTACACAATCAGTGTCCGTTCTAATCATCTCAAAAGTCTTATGAGCCTGTCGTTAAAGCCAACATTCAGTGCGCACTCTACTTAATCCTAGAAGTGAAAAGCACACATTCAGTGTATACTCAACTTAATCTTTGAAGTGCATAAGCCCTATTCAGTGTGTACTCTACTCAATCCTAGAAGCGTATAGTCCCACATTCAGTGTGTACTCTACTTAATCACAGAAGTGCATAATCCCACGTTCAGTGTTAACTATACTTAATCCTAGAAGTGCATAAGCCCACATTCAGTGTGTACTCTAGTTAATCCTAGAAGTGCATAAGCCCACATTCAGTGTGTACTCTAGTTAATCCTAGAAGTGCATAAGCCCACATTCAGTGTGTACGCTACTTAATCTTAAAAGTGCATAAGCCCACATTCAGTGTGTACTCTAGTTAATCCTAGAAGTGCATAAGCCCACATTCAATGTGTACTCTACTTAATCCTAGAAGTGCATAAGCCCACATTGAATGCAAACTCTAGTCAAGGTTAGACATATGTAAGCCCACACTCAGTACCTATCCATGTAAGCCCACATCCAGTGCCTGCCTACTTATGTAAGACCACATCCAGTGCCTGCCTACCTATGTAAGCCCACATCCAGTGCCTGCCTACCTATGTAAGCCATATTCAATGCCTGCCTACTACCCATGTAAGCCCACAATAAGTGCCTGCCTACCCATGTAAGCCTACATTATGTGCCTAGCTATGTGAGCCCACATTCAGTACCTACCTATGTAAGCCCACATACAGTGCTTACCTATGTAAGCCCACATTCAGTACCTACCTATGTAAGCCCACATTCAGTACCTACCTATGTGAGCCCACATTCAGTACCTACCTATGTAAGACCACATACAGTGCTTACCTGTGTAAGCCCACATTCAGTACCTACCTATGTAAGCCCACATACAGTGCTTACCTATGTAACCCCACTATTTATCAAAACAAGTCCTATAAAATGGCATTTAACAAACAATGTTGACTTTAAGAAGTTAAAGCCAGTGACGTAATGGATATATGCTGATAGACTCATATTGTGTAGACCAATTAGCACAAGGTGGCAGATGTAATCAGCGTCGCTCCATCAACCTTGACCTCCCAGGACCTTACCTGACACCAGTTTAAGGCTGGGATGACCTAGGAGCCAAGGTCAGTTTGTTTGGAAAAACTCAGTTGGATACAGATTTCAACCCAAGAACTCTGGGTCTGCAGAGGAGTGTCTGGCCACTACGCAACTTTGGCTGCCAAAGTTGTTTTGTTTTTGTAATTATGAAGTCGCAAACATGGTGGAACTGTAGATGGTCCACATACAGTTTTGATACAATAGGCCAGGCAGGTTTGGTTGGAAATTTAGAAAAGATTGTCAGTCCAGTTTAAAGCCTGATAAACCAACTAGTCAAATATTGTGTTTGGTCAGGAATAGTAGTTATAGTTGGTCAGGAATAGTAGTTATAGTTTAAACAATATACTGTTCAACTCATTTGGGTTGGGATAAATAAAAAGGTGTTTTTTTCCCAATATTGAATATTTATGCTTTTCAATTACTTTTGAATATATGGTGTATTAATTGTAACACATTATAGGAGTATAGACTATTGTGTTTAATATATTTTAAGTGTACTTTTAAAATATTTGTGATAATCATATTGTGTAATTGATCTTTGGGAACATTTAATGTGATCTGGGATACCATTTTTCTGTCTTAGGATATATTAACACTTCTGAAAAATTGAATCAGTTGCGAAGAATATGTGGGTGCTTTATCATTGTGGAACTGCCAAGTTTCAGTTACCCACAGATTAGATCATTTGATTCCAGTTAACGCAGATGACGATCATGCTTTGTCAGTATAAATGTGGTTTTACCATGTTATGTATATATCTGTAATTGAACATGTATGTCTTTATGTGTGTGTGTGTGTGTGTATAGTGCATACCAGCACCCTCCCCAACAGTCATCACTAGGTACTAGAGTACCGGTCCAAGTCACTAGTTTTGGTGCAGTTAACATTTCTTAGCCAACATAATTGGCTCAGACTACAGTTATAACCAATACTGCTCACAATAAGTTGAACGTGGTGGTTTTTTTATTTTTCAAAAATGGATGGATGGATACCTACATGAGACAGAACCATAGGCCTAATGTGGCAACCTTGACGGAACAATCATACTATAGATAAGACATGACCAAAAGACTAAACCAGAATCAAGTATTTTAACAACAGAATCACTTCATTAATCACAGCCAGTTTGTATTTAGTAAGATACTGTACTGTCTTGCTCATCTGGATTCAGATTGTCCAAGTTAGTCTGGTACAACCAGTATGTCCACACAGAAAAGTTCACATTATGTTAAGAATTGTGTACTTTTTTTGCATGTATGAAGAGACCAGAAGCTTTTAATGTTTCACTGATATCATCTTCTTCAGGCTAATTGTAGATTTCAAATATTTTTGAGGCTCTGTTTGAGTTGAAGATATACGAGGGGAAGTAAGTAAGTGAGTCACAAATGGTTATGGGATGGCAGGAAAATGTAGCTGTGGTTTCTAAAAGTGTCATTAGGTGACAGCTACATTGAACTTTATGTATCCATTCGTTAGGTAGAACTAGGTGTTGCACACACATTCGCAATACAGAAACAAAATTGCAACTGTACTTACGGAGTGTACCCTCAAAGAACAATGTGCTGTTGTGCGGTTTTTTTTTTTAGGGGGGGGGGGGGGGGGGCGTAGGGGGCAGGAAAGGGTTGCCTGCAAAGGAGATTCATAAGGAAATGCCTGTTTATGCTGACAAATGTTTATCCCATGAAGCAGTGCATAGCAGGGTAAAAAAATGTCTCCAGGACATTTAAAAACAGACGCATTCGTTCAGCGGGTGGAGGAGAGGATTAGAGGTGACAGGTGAATAACGGTTGACTCTGTAGCAGCTGCAATAGGGTGCTCACTTGGTTCAGCATACAACAAATTGCATAATCAACTGAAATTTAAGAAAGTGTGCTTAAGGTGTGTATCCAGACAACGGACGGACGAACACAGAGTGAACAGATTAGGTCTGTCCTGTAGCATCTCTGTCAGATGAAGGAGAAGACAAGCTGAACAGGATTATTACTAGGAGTGAATCATGGGTGCACCACTACCAGCCCAAATCAAAGGGTGCGTCAGTACAATGGAAACATTCCTCTTCGCCTTGTGTTCAAAGATTCAAGATTACGCATCAGCAGGAAAGGTTATGCTGACAGTGTTCTGGGACTATCAAGGAGTGCTTTTAACCAGTTTCAAAAAAAAAAAAAAAAAAAGAGGTGACAATGTGAAAGCCGATTTATACTGTAAAGTTCTATCGATGCTTCATGATGCAATTTGAAGAAAACGTCCAGGCCTGCTGACTACAGGAGTACTGCTCCTTTATGACAATGTCAGACCACATACGGCTCGGTTAACTTGGGAGAAATTTAACCATCTAGGGTGGGAACTTCTGGAACATCCACCTTACAGCCCTGAGTTAGCCCCTAGCGATTTTCACCTTTTTGGTCCACTGAAAACCCACCTTGGTGGGAGACATTTTATGAATGATAGAGAAGTTGAATTTGAAGCGAAAATGTAGTTTAGAAAACATATCACACAGTTCTATGCAACAAGTTTGGCAGGACTGATAAACCGATGGCACAAGTACAATAATGTTGGTGGAGATTATGTTGAAAAATAAAGGAACAGTCTATGAGTAAAAATAAATGGTTTTCAAGTCCTTGGGGGGGGGGGGGGGGGGGGGGGCAAACAACCATTTGTGACTTACTTGTTGGCTTGACTTACTTATTGACTTCCCTTCATGTATTTTTCTTCGCTAGGCTTATGGTAGAGACGATATGATTTTGTTGCAGTTTATCTTCATGAGGCTGATATTTTTATTGAAATTGTGGCATCTGAATCCAAATGATTGATGTAATGTTTCAAATATCAATTGTTACTTCTTTTTTTCCACTCATAAAAAATGTAGGGATACAGGACAAAGTTATTGCAGAAAAGAGGAGAGCTGAGTGTCTGAGAAGAATATAGAATACCTGTTTGGCAACAATGGTCCTGATATCACATGCTCTAAGTGGGGAAGCCTTTTCTTAACCTGAGCAGGGTTTGCAAACCACACTCACCTACCCATAGGCTGTTATTTCTCATGTCTCCTTATGTCACAGTTTAACACTATTGTCTGCAAAGAGAAAGGTGCCAGTCATTATTTCTCCGTTTCTTATTGTTGATAAATGTGATTTTATTTCATCATTCAGTTATTCTGAAACTAAAAGTGAAACATACAATAACCAACATTTTTCAAATACATTTATTCTCAGAATGGAACTAATTTCTCTGGGGGTCTGAGGCCAGAACATGCAACATCATTGAATTCTAGAGTAGGTGCCTTGTCTCCATCTTTGCCTACCAGTCCAGTTTCTCCAAGGTCTCCGCTGAGCGCCCAGAGTCCATTTGGGTCACCCCAAGCCTCGCCACAGCTGTCACGTCGCTCACCCTCACCACGGAAGTTTGACATCGGGTTTGCTTCGGCAGTGGCTAATATATGTGAGCAAGCACATAACATAGCAGATCAGGATCGGCAGAAGAAATATGGTTTGTAACTTTGTTGTTGCCAACTTATTTTTAAATGATAACTCCTTCATTGCTAAGCAGATTTTACTTTGAAACCTTTACTCTCAAGAAGTTGAATTCAGTTAAGAAGATTCAACATTATTAGCTGTAAAAATATGTCATAATTGTAACCGACTCACAGAGCATGTTGAGAAAGGTGAAGACAGGTATGTTTTATGCAGGTCCAAGGTAGTTAGTGTTCATCTAATATTTTCACCATGTCTTGCCAGTATAATGGGAAAACCAGATGGACTGGCTGGTTTTGCACCACTTGGTGGTGAATTGAGGCATGCTAAGCTAGGTGTTGTAAGGATTTTGTAGGAAACAGAGTGAACAGTGCAGGTACACAAATAGATCATTACAGTTAGAGGAGAATGGTACTGCAAGTAGTGAATAGAGGATCTGGCTGATGTTCAACACTTAAGGGAAATCAGACTGTTACTGACTCCATATCCCTGTCTAGACTGATGTGATGATAATCCTTTCTAATCACTAATCACTAGACTGTTACTGGTGCAGCTGGAATTGGACTGTCCTGAGTACTGTGATTATGATTCCTAATGCCATTTCAACATTCAAATCACCTGGAGCAATAAATACTTGGGCCTGAAGGAGTTGAACAGAGACACTAAGAGACTAAAATAGTTAATACAAGGAGCAATAAATACTTGGGCCTGAAGGAGTTGAACAGAGACACTAAGAGACTAAAATAGTTAATACAAGGAGCAATAAATACTTGGGCCTGAAGGAGTTGAACAGAGACACTAAGAGACTAAAATAGTTAATACAAGGAGCAATAAATACTTGGGCCTGAAGGAGTTGAACAGAGACACTAAGAGACTAAAATAGTTAATACAAGGAGCAATAAATACTTGGGCCTAAAGAAGTTGAACAGAGACACTAAGAGACTAAAATAGTTAATACAAGGAGCAATAAATACTTGGGCCTGAAGAAGTTGAACAGAGACACTAAGAGACTAAAATAGTTAATACAAGGAGCAATAAATACTTGGGCCTGAAGGAGTTGAACAGAGACACTAAGAGACTAAAATAGTTAATACAAGGAGCAATAAATACTTGGGCCTGAAGGAGTTGAACAGAGACACTAAGAGACTAAAATAGTTAATACAAGGAGCAATAAATACTTGGGCCTGAAGGAGTTGAACAGAGACACTAAGAGACTAAAATAGTTAATACAAGGAGCAATAAATACTTGGGCCTAAAGAAGTTGAACAGAGACACTAAGAGACTAAAATAGTTAATACAAGGAGCAATAAATACTTGGGCCTGAAGAAGTTGAACAGAGACACTAAGAGACTAAAATAGTTAATACAAGGAGCAATAAATACTTGGGCCTGAAGGAGTTGAACAGAGACACTAAAAGACTAAAATAGTTAATACAAGGAGCAATAAATACTTGGGCCTGAAGGAGTTGAACAGAGACACTAAGAGACTAAAATAGTTAATACAAGGAGCAATAAATACTTGGGCCTGAAGGAGTTGAACAGAGACACTAAAAGACTAAAATAGTTAATACAAGGAGCAATAAATACTTGGGCCTGGAGGAGTTGAACAGAGACACTAAGAGACTAAAATAGTTAATACAAGGAGCAATAAATGCTTGGGCCTGAAGGAGTTGAACAGACACACTAAGAGACTAAAATAGTTAATACAAGGAGCAATAAATACTTGGGCCTGAAGAAGTTGAACAGAGACACTAAGAGACTAAAATAGTTAATACAAGGAGCAATAAATACTTGGGCCTGAAGGAGTTGAACAGACACACTAAGAGACTAAAATAGTTTAATACAAGGAGCAATAAATACTTGGGCCTGAAGAAGTTGAACAGAGACACTAAGAGACTAAAATAGTTAATACAAGGAGCAATAAATACTTGGGCCTGAAGGAGTTGAACAGACACACTAAGAGACTAAAATAGTTTAATACAAGGAACAATAAATACTTGGGCCTGAAGGAGTTGAACAGACACACTAAGAGACTAAAATAGTTAATACAAGGAGCAATAAATACTTGGGCCTGAAGGAGTTGAACAGAGACACTAAGAGACTAAAATAGTTAATACAAGGAGCAATAAATACTTGGGCCTGAAGGAGTTGAACAGAGACACTAAGAGACTAAAATAATTAATCTAATAACTCAGCTACAAAGGATCAATATAATGTTTGTGGTAGAATACAAAAAATACGTATTATCTTTGGAAATAACTAAGAAATATATGGTGAGCTCTTTAGTACTTACAGAGTTAAACTTGTTCAACTTCATTAATCACCACTTTCATCGAGTGCTGATTGGTCTATAATCATGTACCACATGCACCAGTAGCAAGACACAGGTCCTGTAGTTCCAGGAACATGTTTTATCAACTTTCTCGGTTGCACAAGCACATGGGTGTCTAAATGGAAAACAAAAGACCACTGATCAGCAGCATATTCTTGCCAAGTCTTTGTTGGCTTTGTCACGATTTGGTCACTAAAGAAAAGAAAGTGCAGAAGACGAAGATCCCATATGGTATGGGAGGAATTATCTATGTTGCCAGAAGAGATCAATTAGCCACATCAGAGAAATGGTGTGAGCAACACTGGGCATTTATTACATAGACTGGCAGAAAGTAAAATGATTTGGTCACATAATGAAAATGGAAATGAGATATTAAAAAAAAAAATCCTGTGTGTATCATACAGAAACTACATCACAAATCACAGTTCACTGTATCATCCATCACTCATTGGTAACTATGACCCACTTCCAACAACAGTGAAAGGATAGAAAATGCAGTCACACAGATGTGTAACAAGATCTATCAGCCTCTCTAAAACAAAACTTCACCACTCTGCAGAGGAGAAGAGGCAGACCAAGAAAGATCTGGTTACAGAATTAGGTTCAAGAGACAGGCCTCAAACATACATACATCAAACCCATTGCATTTAACTAGCAGAGCTGGGAAAGGGGGGGGGGGGAACAGACCAGACAGTCAACACATAGGGATGTTCTGTAAAGGACATGCTATTTGATTGATATATATAGTATTGTTAGGTATAAATAAGAATATGCATATATATACACACACCCACATATACAGGCACACATGTGCATATTTAGAATTACTGAAAGAATTTATTTTTGAAGAAAAAAAAAGACAGCTGAAATATTTTGGCCACATTAAAAGATATAAAATGCTTTTAAAAGCTTAATGAAGGCAAAGGTTGAAGCAAGAGAGCTAGAGGTGGACAATGATGCAAGTGGGAGGACACCATCAAGAGATGGACAAACAGCAGTCTGAGAGAGTGTACAACCAAGGCAAGAGATGGAGCATGTTAAAGGTCCATTGCAGCCTACCGTCATTGTTAGGCAACGGCACCTGATTGATTGATACACTGAGGCTGGTTTACTTTATGAAGCCTTCTCCCTGTAGCTTTCTACCTCAGGCCTCTTCAATGTGCGACAGTCCATCTGTCACTGTCATCCTCCCCAGGAGTCAGTCTGCATTTGATCTCTCCCAGGGATCTGTATCAATGTTGGTATCTTTCAGATCATACTATTGTCAAAACTAGGCAGTCGGTGTGATGGTAACTATGCAATCCCACTGTGGAGTTCCTAAAAATGAAAGAGCAGATAAACTAGCTAAGGAAGGTGCAGATGAAGAACAACCTGACGTACCAGTCTCTTATCAGCAAAAGAAGAGAATAATCAAATCAACCAGAAAACCAACAAAACCAGCACAAGTCGATTACCATTTCATGGACAGACCAGAGCAAGTCATTATCCTTCACCTTAGAACAGGACACAATCGACTTCACAGCCACATGTACACAAAATGTAAAATCTGTGAATCAGCCATGTGCACATATTGATTGGCACCTGAGACAACAGATCATGTCCTCCAAGACTGTTTCAAATACAACATATAAAAGCAACACTTTTAGCAAAGAGAAATATCAGTGCAAGTCAAACTTTATGGGCCGCTGACTGAATTACAAAAGTCAGTGACAACATTGCAGATTTAGATAATTTATTTTAACCGAACGAAAGAAGAAGAAGATCATATTTGTATGTGTCTTCATAGCAAAGCTTTGGCCTTCCTTCAGATCTCTTCCCTGATTCAAATTCACCTTAAATGATATCCTTTTGAATATGACCAACAGGGAAGGCTAACCCGGTCAACAAATGCCCGCAGAAGTCGGATGTGTTGGCTTAAAAGGTGCAAATATCGCAGCCATGCTGTAAACGGACACAACACAATTACATCTTTAGATAAACACAGAAGAAGAAGAAGAAGAATATGACCGTCCACCATGTGGAAGACATGTCGCAGCCAGTGCAGGCATCTGCATCTATAATTCACTAGAAAGTATATTGTTGGCATTTTGCTCTTCTGAGCACACATCATTTGGGGACAAAGTCTTGCCAAGTTATACAGAGAATCCTGCCTCAAACAGCTCATGTGAAAAGTATTCAGTCTTTTTTCTTGAGGATCATTTGGAGTTCATGTTTGTGTCAAAGTTGTTAAGTGATGCTGGAGTGACCTCCCAAGGGTTCAGACCTGGGCATCCCATCTAAATATTGAGATAGTACTTATCAGGCAAAATTATATTTCTTTTGTTCCCATTATTTTCATGTTTGTAGAACTGGTCATAATGCCTGCTCACAGCCTTCTGCCAAAGGTACTGCTAGTCATGTTTGGTACAGATGATACAGTGATACCTTCTTCTTCTTCTACTGTGTTTGGCCATAAAGGACTTTCTCACATTGTGTTGGCCTTTGTGGAACAAGCGATGGAATAAGTAGAGAAACAATATTATTATCGCCTGGAGAGAACGAGGCACCTGGGTGTAACCAGAGGGTCTGGCCGGCTCACTACACTCAGAGGAATGGCAATATTGTGACCGGTACCATTTGGAAGCTTC